TTAGACTAAGGCTGATGATAGCCATCTTCAAAGGAAGATTACTCATAAGTGAGTCCTTAAAAATAGGTCACCAGGTCTTGGAGCACATGCTTGTGTGACGTGGTGACAACCAACTAGTTCAAGGATATCACCTGAAAGCACTGGTCTCAAGGCTGTGGGAGGAACCAATGACCAAAAGGTAGCCAGGCTAGAGGACTTTTGACCATGACCATCAGTGTTGCGGCATGACTTGTCAGCCTGATTAGATCCCTTGGCAATTCTAAATGAGAGGCAAAGAAGCAAGAGAGTGGAGTAGAGGCTAAAAGAAATAGAGTGAAGGTATATGAAAACCACGAGACAACAGAAACAATGATACACTGATTTCATAGCAGTAGGTAGTCAGCCATAGAAGCAGCAGTTATAAATTCAATGGAAATAGCAGCAGTAGCATCCAGAACCAAAGAGGATGCTGCTGGGGTTGGGCTGGGACGTGTGAGCAATTGTGAGGTGAACAGGGAAAAGTGACCATTCACCTACTGAGTGATTCTGTACTTCCTACATCTGTGTATCCTTAAATAAACCTCACTCACAATGCTTATGTTTTCTTTCCTCCTCTATTTTCCATGTCTCATTCAATTGCACATTCAGAATACTCAGGCAAGGCACTTAGAAAGTTTGGGAATTGCTTTCTCTCAACTGCAGACTCTCATAGTGCCAAGTCCTTGGTGATCTTGCCTTGAGTTCCTTTTGACTGGACTGGCTCCCATCTCTCAAAGCAGCAAAATAAACACAGGCCATTGTTTTCAATGACCTGGAGCAAACCAACAGTGTTAAGGATTCTCACATGACTCCGGGCCTTTGTATTTACTGTTCTTGAGTGCCTGGAATGACCTAGAAAAGGGAGGTCTTTTTTACTTTCAATATTTATAGCCTTTAACATTCTTCTCGCTGGACTCCAGCAGACAGGTAAAGGTGTGGTCTTTGCTTTTCTGACACTTGTACGAGCTTACCACTGCTTTTAAATCTATTTGCTTGCCATTCTCTCTCATTAGACTAAGCAACTATACAACTAAAATTTTAACTAGTGCTGGCTGGGCATAATTCTAATTCCAGCTACTTGGGAAGCTGAGGCAGGAGTATTTGAGAACAGCCTATATGACTGTCAGATCCTGTCTCCAAATAAAACATATAAAAGGACTGGGGATGTGGCTCAGAAGTACACCGCTTCTAGATTGAATTCTTAGTAGTGCCAAAAAAAAAAAAAAGATTCTAAGTAGTTCATCCTCTTGTGGCCCTATGGTCCTGTTTAGAGTACCCAGAAAATGTGTAAGAAATTAATACATTGATTGGTGGAAGGCTTGTCCAATTCCTGTGAGACCTCCAAGACCTATTTGGTATAGTGGAAAGAACTCTGCAGCCAAGTTCTTGATCTCACTCTGAAGCACTTGGACTCCTCTATGCCTGATTTTTTGCATCTGTAAATATGTTCAGATATTTAAGGTTTCAGTTCACAAATGTTTGGTGCTTGCCTGTAAATGCATTTCAATAATGGCCCTGCTCATACCCCAGCCCTTGCCACCCACACTGCAGGATGCTTTGGTAACACTATAAATGTGGTTACGGAGTTTATAGCATAGCTCTCATTAGTTGTTGTTACTGCTTAATTTTGGAGAATGGAGAAGAGATTTGTTGTTTAATATTACACATGCCTTCATAATCAAGGTAGGCTCTGAGATGTAGATAACATACATCTGAAGGCAGATCTGCATAAAGTTCTATTTCAGACATGTAAATCTATATTCAATAAACGGAGAAGGAAGCTTGAACAGGAATATTCTTTAGAACTACCATGTCAAAAAAAAGTATTTGTGACCTACTTTTATGTATTTTAAATCCAAAGAAAAGAGAGAACAATATGTAAAATTGATTTTATTCAACATGTATGCATATCAAATATAAAATTAGTTTATCTGACAGAGACTGGGTTAAAACTCTCCAAATAGATCATATAAAACAAAGATTGGCCACTATTTCTCATATGCTTCTCATCCATAACAAAAGAGTTTTGCACTGCCACAACTTGATATTGCTGGAAAACATTTTTTTTATATTTGACATTAACAGTATGAAATGGAAAATGTAAAAAATAAGAACTATAACTGTATTCTGAAGAAAAGTTGAAGTAACAAATTCATACTTGCTTTTCCTTAGAAAGAAGCATCTCTAGCAGAGCAAAGACCAGGAGTATTCAATATATACACATAGTGACCAAGTTAATTTATTTTTCAGGAATCTTTTTTTTGGAGAGAGTGCAGGACTCCTCCCTAACACTCCACCAAGAGTTATTCATGAGTAAAATGAAAAGATTTGACTAAAGTCTATTTGCACTTCCTTGAGAGTGCAGGACTCCTCCCTAACACTCCACCAAGAGTTATTGATGAGTAAAATGAAAAGATTTGACTAAAGTCTATTTGCACTTCCTTGACTTGTTTGCTTTCTATCCTCGAAATTACAGACCCTTATTTGAGATTGAGGATTTAAGCTAAATCTCTTGTCCATTCTTGCACAAGCCTCCATCCTTCCACCATATTTTTGGGAGTTACCTTTCTGTACTCCAAATCTCCACTGCCTGTACATAAAGTCCAAACTTCTTGGTCTGCAGAAGACTTAGACCACTTGACCATTGCTTTCCTTTCCTGACATCTCTACCCACCACACTTATTCTGCTCTGGCCCTTGAACCACTTACAATTGCCTGAATTCTCTTTGCAGTTTAATGTTTTCCATTAAAATAGAGTACCTCACAGCTATGCATGAGCCACGTTGTTGCAGTTTTCATGCATTTACGTATGCTGTTCCCAGCATGTAAAATGTCCTGCCCAAGATCTGTCTCCTGGAAATATAAACACATATTTTCAAGGCACTACTCAGTTCCTATAATTTTGGCCTTGTCAGTTATTAAACCCAACCACTTCTCTTTCCATGCCTTCAATTAGCTCTATTCAGATGTCAACTGCCGAAAGTCTGCCTACTAGGCCATCAGCTTTAAAGATCCACATCTCTTGCATCTTTTCATCCTTAACACATGACTGGTGCCTGACACTTGCATCAACCCATCTAAGCCCCAACGAGTTCTCTCAACTTTCATCTAGGGCAAAGAACAAACTAATAATGAGAAATGCCATCAGATACTACTCGGTTATGATTTTACAAGTTAGAATAGAAATATATAAATATAAGGGCCTTGTAGGATCATAAGGATGAACCATAAGTGGTTAAGTCCATAGAAATTCATAAACTGCTTCAAGTTAGGAGACACAAGGTTTTTTTCACTGCCATCATCAGGAAGGCATGCTCTCTTTCTACCTTGTTAAGCAACCAAACTTAGCACAGGAAACAAAGAATCTCCCTTTCTCCTAAGAAGTTCAACAATTCTGGTGTTGGGGAACATTAAATAAATAAAACCTTCCTTCCTGCTCCCTCTTTATCAGTGTGATAAGATCACTTCATACTATTCTCAGCTTCATGCCTAGCACTGCCTCCTTCAAATAAGATGACCTTTCAGGCAAATTGACTTGCTTTTTCTCCTCTAATTCCCATAGTACTATGTATACTCTATAGCAGCTAGTTTTAAAACAATATTAATTCTAGAGCATGAAATTACAACAGTTCAGTGCCTAGCACACAATGAGCACTTGAATGATGGATTAAAGCTTGGTTAAAGGTATGAAGTGAGTCAAGACTAATTATGTTAATTCCAACTTTAAGAATTTCCTTGTTGGTCCTGCACATGGCGAACACGTGACACACACAGGAGGATCACAAGTTCAAAGGGAGCTTCAGCAATTTAGTGAGGTCCTAAGCAACTTAGCAAGACCCTGTATCCAAATAAAAAATAAAAAGTGTTAGGTATGTGGCTTAATGGGTAAGCGCCCCTGGGGTTCAATCCCTGATACAAAAATAAAATAAAATTAAAAGTTACTTATCTTTGAACACAGATTTAATTTCAAACAGTGTGGTTTTTTTTTTCCTGCCTTTAATACTCAAGGCTGCAAAAGAGTGTTAATTATTTATGAGGACATTATATTTTGAAGAAATGAATTTATTTAAACAATCAATACAAGGGTAAGAAGTGAAAAACCACTAGCACAATGGTTCTCATAGTGGTTGATATTCTGCATACATTCCTAAGACAACTTTAAGTGAATGGAATAGACCCACAGAACACCCATATTCTTTGGTATTGTCATTAAGTGTTTTAATTTTAAAAATTTGAAAACAATTAAACACTTAAATTGAATAATTAAACACAAAGTTTAGTTAATATCATAATACAACTGAATTTGTGTGGGAAAATTAAGGGTGATAAAACTTCAGTTAAACTAAAATATGCTCTTTAAATTTGTTCTAATTGGATCAATAACTGACCTCACTGTCCTGATGATTTATTGTTTTGTGATTCTCGATATTAATAAAGCAATTTTAATAGTTGAAATACAATCTATTTTGTGATTGATTTTTTGAATCTGGTAATTTTGCAAAAATGCCTCGGGACTGTTTTAATGCTGCTGTGTCTCCACCTTTATAACAGCCGCAGTGAAATCAACTTACATGCTAGGTAGCATGGAGACACTTCAAAATTATTTCACCCAGTAATTTCCTTTGGTCCTACTTATTTGGGTTTTATATTCTGGTGTAGCATCATTATTTTAAGGACATAAAGTATGGCTAGAAATGAAATGGAGACAACTGACCAGAAAAAAAAAATCTGTAAAAAAATTATACCATACGTTACTGGTAAAGGCTTCAATATGTGATTACATATATCTATAGGTTCAAGGCACAAGAAAACAGATTGGACTTGCTTTTATATTCACCTCAACAGATACCCTATAATAACCACACCAGTATAATAGGGCAATCAAAAATAAACTTAATTTGTCTTTTAATTAGTGCATATGTGGATATCTCCAAATACATTTGATATATATATATATATATATATATATATATATATATATATATATATATACACACACACACACACATATATGTCCAATATCCAAATTATTTTAATCCATATCTATTTATTTCTCAGATTTAAAATAACAATATTGACACATAAAAGGAAAAAGTTATCAATGCCAGGCTTCTGATTAAATTATCAAATCAGATTTAATGCGATTGTAGCAATTTCTTTAGGAAAACACAGACTTCCACACTTAATGGTCAGTTACCTGTTCATTAAACTTTAACTTTGCCTAGAATAGTTTCAAGTAATGAAAATAAAATTTCTTGACTTGCTTGGGATAATATATAATATGCAAGAAAAAGGACGTTGTGTTTTGGTGGTGGTTCTTTTAAGCCAATCATCAAACATGTTTTCATCTGCATTTGGAAAATGCTTTCAGTTTAATGTTAAGTTTTTCAATAAAACAAAATAAACTTACATTAATTTGATTATCACAGTTGTTAAGTCTTCCAATCTTCAAATTCAAGACTCACAACAATGATTGCAGAAGAAAAACATAACACAAATAATCTCCTCTGGCCATCATCACCTTAGGGGCTGATTTTCTTGTACTGTCAAATTCTATCACAAGTTGTCACTTTTCCAAGGTTTGGATGGTGCTTTGCAACAGAACTGCCTGAGAAGATTCAGAAAGCCTTTGTTCTTGGGCTTACATGGTAAGCACTTGGTGTGATTCTTAATCACATTTTTATCCAGAACACAGGGTTACAGGTCACATTTTTTTTTTAACAAGGCTTACAGTGATTTGTGCTCTATAAATATAAATACATTTACATGGAGAATACATACACACTAATGTGGGGACATGTAATTAGGCAACCATCCATAAGCAGAATGGAATAATAATTGCAGGAAAGGTAGTATATGATGCCAGGCCCATGCAGACTATAGACACCAATCCCAAGATCGCTGAAGCAAGAACACTTCTCTGATCACGAATAATTATCTTCAGCATCTCAAAAAACTGGAAAATAAAAGTTAAGAATATTAGGAAAGGTAGCTAAACCTAAAAGAATCACATATAACAAATAGCAAAACAGTTTTTACAACTATTTTCTGTCTACCAGGAGAACTAGAAATTCCTTTGTGATACGTGAAAAAATTTAAAATGTAGATAACTCAGTTTCTTGATTCTATATCCTGAATAGGTGAAATATTACAACAAACAACTAGGTTAATAAATTTTAAAATACAGAATTTTACAGAAAGCTAAAAGTTATTCAGGATGAAAGGTTAAAAATATTCAAATACTTGTTAGTATTAACAGCATATTCTAAAATTACATAAGAAAAATCTCTAATACTGTGTAAAAAAACAGAATTAAGTTTATTGTTAGGGGGAATTCAGTTTTTCTAATTCACCATTCTAAATATGCTCAATGTCAGTAATAACTTTATATAAGGCTTAAAATCTGAAGGCATAAAATTAGTCTCATTTTGTTGTCATATCCCATTCCCTGTCTAAATATATTATATTCACCATCAATTATATGCACACATAAATTGGTTACTGGAAATCACCTTCAGTAATGCATTCTCTTAACGTGTAGTTTTTTCTTAGAAAAACCATTTTACTTGGAAGCAATGGCCTCTGTTGAATTCCTGAATCCACCTCTTATTGACCGTGTGATCTCAAATAAGTCACTTAACCTGTCAACTCCTCTTCATAGAAATACCATGGCGACTGTGGGGATCAAATGAGATCTTCTATGCAACAGTGTATTTTATATTCTTCTACAAGTTATATAAATGTAAAGTATTATAATGATTATTATCACTGTTGAGAATCTCTACCTCATCATTGTCACTGCCACAATTTAACGATTATCATTTTTTAAGAGTTTTTCTATTCATACTAGATTTAAGCTCTTGTTCCAGAACATGGCATTGTATATGATTTTAAGTTCTCTTATAGTGTCTTATAGAGTATTGGACAGTGAGGTTTCCAAAGCTTTTCTTCTTGTTATATTGACCAAGATGGCTTAGAACATTGAGGCTTAAAAAAAAAAAAAAAAATCCTCCTGCTTTAGCTTCCAAAAGCCTTGGGAATATTTCCATATTAATTAATTTGTTTATTTATTTTGCAGTGCTGAGGCTCAAGTTCAGGATTTGGCACATGCTAGGCAAATACTGTACCACTGAGCTGCATCCGCAGCTGGGTTTCCAAGTTCTTTCATCAGGGATTGAACTCAGGGGCACTCGGCCATTGAGGCATATCTCCAGGCCTATTTTGTATTTTATTTAGAGACAGAATCTCACTGAGTTGCTTAGCGCCATACTTTTGCTGAGGCTGGCTTTGAACTCTCCATCCTCCTGCCTCAGCCTCTCAAGCTGCTGGGATTACAACAAGTGTGCACACCTTGCCCAGCTGGTTTCCAAGTTCTTAAAGGAGAGAATAAACAAGTTCAATATAGTCATGAGTCACAATAGTGACATTTCAGTTGACAACTGACCACACATAGAACATAGCCCAGTAAGATGATAATGCTTATGTAAGTATACTCTATCATGTTCATACAATGATGACATGTCCTAACTGTGCATTTCTCATGTCATTAAGGATGCATGACTCTATATTTTTAAAAATTTTTTCCTAGTTGACCTTTATTGATAAAATTCACATTACATGGGATTTTGAGATGCTCCTTAATCAAGTTTTATAATAATGAATTACATTTTAAGTATTTCTTTTCTACAAAACTAATGTGAAGTTTCTTTCTTATAATTTATATCATAGATTGTTATGCTGAATTTTATAAGGTTCATATTTAATAATCATTAAGTCTTCTGTTAAATTGCTCATAAGATAGCAAAAGATATTAATAGTCAATGCTAGTAAAAAATAATTTCCACTTTAGACTTTAAGCAATGAGAAAAATTGTTTATTGATTTTCATTTATTTTAAATAAGTCAAGAAAGATGTCAACTAGAAAACAGGGTAGTTTTCTAGATTTATGTTTCCTTCAAGATATATTTCCTAAACACAGAACTGATGAGGCATAAAACTGCTAAATTTTACTTCTGGTGGAAATAAAGTCTGTGGTGAACAGATAACATTACTGCCATATCCTCTGTCCTCACAGGAGTGATCCATTCAAAATTTGTTCTCAGTGAATGACTGTATATTTTAACATACTATCTTAACTGTGCATAGTTATCCCTGTTCATACTTTTACATATTATTTAAGAGAGAAACATCCTGTTAATCATCCAGATGTTGATCTATTTATAGGTCAAGCATTTGATTTGTTTCTTTTTTTAACAATTATTTTCTTTTTTTAGTATTTATTTTTTAGTTTTAGATGGACACAATATCTTTATTTTATATTTATGTGGTGCTGAGGATCGAACTCAGTGCGCCATGCATGCTAGGCGAGCACTCAGCCACTGAGCCACAACCTCAGCCCTGATTTGTTTCTTTTCTACTAAACTAAAACATTAGTTAATAAGTACATTGTCTTAAAAGTGGTGATGATCAAAATGAATGAATTTTTCAGGACAGTTAGAAAAGGAGGTTGGAAATACCAGAAGGCATATTTAGGTAAGTAAGTTGTCCTGATACAGTTATACTTGCTTCTTCTTCATCCTACTAGTGAAGGCAAACTAAGGACTGGGGCGAATTCTCCCCTGAAGCAGTTTCTCTCAAAGAGCATTTCATTTCTAATGTTCCAGTTCTTGTTCAGTTGGCCATCAGCCCAGGAGGCATCTCTAGAGGTACTGAACAGTAGGAAGTTTCTAGAAAGGGATCAAGAAGCCTGTAGGGACACTTTTGTGAGTGCTGAATTCACAGAAAATGAAAAATTTTCTGTTTCCATTGGGTAAAAAAAAATAGTAAGATGTAGAGCAATTTTCTGTTCACATTCATTTTGGCAAAGGAAAAACCAGTATTAGCAAAGTCAGAAAAAAAATCATAGTAGAAAAAGCATAAGGCATTGTAATAGTTACTAACTAAAAGGATTTATAAAGTATAATTATAAAATTATGATTTACAAAATCCTGATGATCAAAAGCAATATCAAAATCTCTTAGTTTTATGGCTTCTAAACTTGTAAAAAGAATTTATCACAAAGAACTAAAAGGTTCTTTCCCAGTTCATTTTCAAACTAACTGCAGTGTTTTTCTGAGGGAAAACCTTTGGGAGAGTTTTGTGGGTTTTTTTGTTGTTGTTGTTGTTTTTTTTCAACATGAATTTAAGTAAGAGACCACTTTAACACGCTCATGTTAAGATGATAATAGCTTTGAATATGGAGACTTCAACAATCGAATCCAGAATCAAATAATTCCTTATATTTCTAAAAAGCAGAACTTCTTTATTATGAATGGCCTACTTCTCTCTGGGAAAGTTCAAAAAACAGTTCTTAGAATTAGAAAATTTGGGGATGAAGATTTTTTTTTCCCCCTGAGGAAATCTAGTCTGTGGCCAAAATTGTTTGTTAGACCATTCAAAGTGAAGACAAAAACTCAGTTTCACAAGAGGTGCTATGCAGCAACAGTAATTAAAACACTTCTCCACTGCTGCTAAACCTGACAAAGTTTCCAAAGATGAAAAACTACTACAACTAGTTATTTATGCAGATTATTTTACTAGCTTTAAAAAGCACTTGTACTCTGTTTCTGTAGAAATATATAATACAGTGCTCCATGTGTTCCCTGGAGAAGTAACTCCTAATTACTAGATAGAAATACTGTTTTTCCTTAGAGAAATGATTTGCTTGGTTCTTAAGTAAATCTGACGTGTTTCCTTTTGTATACTTTTAGAGACAGTGTTTGTAAATGTGGGCAAGTTCATTTCTAAACAGGCCTGGACTGGAGCTGTGATTCTTGAATCATTTCACAGTGTTCTAACTGTATTTTTATTTTGCTTGGGAAAGAATTCCTAGATTGAGGCTGAGCTCTATAAAAAATCTACAGGGGTTTCATACACCAATGTATAAAAACATAATACTTTCATGCTTTGTGGGGCGGGGAGTTCCCATTTGGGTAAAAAAATTAGTAAGATGTGGAGCAATTAAAAATCTAAGATGCGTTTATATTTACTCAGATTCTTCATCTAAATGTGAACAGGAATATGAAAACTCATTGAGTGTGTTCACCCAGGTTTCCATTAAGAAGAGTGAATATTAACAATACCTCTTTAACAACTACAGTGAAGGCTGAGAAAGCTTCCAATTGCAAATGAAGTAGGAGGCTTAAAATGTTGACTATCTTTAAAAGTTAAGAGATTCCAAAAGAAAACAATCTGACCCCCTTGGATTTGTGGTTCATTTAAGAATCTTAAATTGTAATACTATTTTTTCAAAGTACCTGTAAAAATTACCTTCTAACATTTAAAGAGCTCTTTTTGAAAAATCAATAGATTTGATTCCTGGGGAACTTGTAAATGCCCTAACTATCTTTGGAGCTAATGGATAAAGGATGGTTAACAATGAGGGATTTAGATGGGGATTAAAGTCAATACAGGAAAAGATTCACAGTACAAGGAAAAAACTTCTCTGAAGCAAAAAACAGAAATAAAGGATTTATCAGGGATGTCCTCTTAATAGCAGGACATTTTGGTAGTTTATATTAAGCTAAGGGAATTCACTCCAGAGAGCTTACAGAGGGAGAAATATGCACACTTCCTTATTTTAAAGGCACACAATTTGTTTATAATATTATGGATTAAATAAATACAATGCACACCTTCCTTCCAATTGCAATTCTTGGGAAAAGTTGCAAGTACCTGCAAAAGATTTCCTGAGACCCCTCAGCCACTTGCTCTTTGTCATTTGAACTACTATGGTTGTGTATATATCTGATGACTTCTGCAGCAATAACAGGGCTGCTCTCTGGATTTGCTGGAAGCGGTCCTGCATGGCCACAGCCTTTTCCTGAGCATATCCTGCAAGGCTCTTCGACATTTATTTTACTTAATTTGTCTCCCTTAGAAACATCAGAGCTTTCCTTACTTAATCTAGAACTCTTAAGAATGGTGAATGGTGTGGAAATAGTGGGGGAAGTACACAAGATTCCTGCTACTAGGGAAGAGAAAAGGTCAGAGATGGTAGGGGGCGTCCCCACCGAGCCCAACTCCCTAGAGTCACACATCCTACCTTGTCGACCTGGGGGCTGATCGCGGAACCGTATCTGCAGTAAGTTACAAAGTGTTCGCAATTGTTCCACAATAGGCTGTAGGAGGTCAGACCCAACAGTTTCTCAGCCCTCCGGGCCACCTCCTCGTTGAGCAGAGCCTTCTTTTTGACGTACTGGTCCAGGTGATTGACAAGGATGTCGGCTCCGTAGGCGAAGTCCTCCACTGTGTCCACGCGGATGCTAGCCACCTTACCAATGACGCCCAGAATGAGACGCTTGTTGGAGACCACTTTCTGCGTGCGCTTCTTGTCATTGGTCAGAGCCAACAAAATGTCGGGCATTAAGTGTGCGACACGGTTGTCGCCCAGGTAGATGCCATAGTGGGTCAGGTGGGTCCGGGGCACTTCCAGTACGTCGCCGCGGAGGAAACAGTTGACCTCATAGAATTTTTTCCATCCTTTCTCTTCTCCCGGGATGTCTAAACTGAAAAGCCTGAAGTTGGAGAAGAGGACCAGCTTCTCCAACAGCAGGGATACCACCTCCAGCATCGGGTTCTTCATTCTGCAAGGAAGAGCGAGTCTTGGGAGAGGTGCTGCTGCAGCTGCTCTGGCCCGAGTCCAGCTGTGCAAGGTAAACTCTCCAGACAGTGGCGCTGCGCGGCTGCTCACCTGCAAGCCCGCCAGCGACCCAAAGCCGCGAGGTAAAGCGACTGCTAAGGAGGAAGACAAAAAAGGAGGGAAGGGAGAGAAGCCTGGAAAGCAGTTCTGCCAATTCTGACTGCGGACTGAAGAGGGTGAGGAATTAGTGTGGCTGCGGACCGCGGGGACAGTGAGACCCACGCTCTGAGGAGCGAGAGAAGCAGCACACCTAGCGGAAGGTGCTGGGGTGCAGAACCACGCGCCTTAGTCCAGAGTACTGCTTTCGCTGCGGCTTTTATCACCGTCGAGGGGGCGGGACGAACGCGGTCATTGACTCGGCGAGCGCACTGATTGGGTGCTGGTGAGAGCACTGCTCCCCGCCCGGAGGTAGCAGGACCCAGGGTTCTTTGGAAGCCCGCGAGCAGAGTCAGAGCTCTCACGTTCTGCACCTTGTTCCCCTTTCGCCGTGGGTTCTGTCTTGCACTGAAGCCCGAAGTACTCTGGCCTTTAGGCGGCCGATTTAGAGGCCGAAGGCGTGGCCACGCGACAGATCCTGCACCTGAGACTGGGGCGCGTTCTCAAAACTTCGGAATCTTCTTCAGTGGAAAGTTTCCTTGGGCGCGATTTCTGAGTAGGACCACTCCTTCTGAAGGGATGGATACCCAGAGACGTTGGCTTCCTAAAGAGTTTGCATTCACTCTGCCAAGTGTGCGCTCCTGGAAAGCCTGCAAATTCTTTCTCAAAATGATATCTCCCCCGCCCCCTTAAAGTGTCCTGATCCCTGGTGCTTTCAGGAAGAACACGGGTGGATGGGGTTGTTACCCTCGCGTCAGGATCCCAGCGCAGGCGATTGGAACTCTAGGACCCTCTGCGCTCCACAGTACCAGTGGCCGTTTAGCGCGCGGCAGTCCAACCGTCAGCATGAAAAACCGTGAGGTCCCAACGTCCACCAGGAAAGGAGGATTCATGTCTAGTTTTTTCCTGGCGTTAGGGTCACACGGCCCAAGCTTCGGTTTACTCACGGAAACGTTACCGATTTCTCTTAAAGCGCAGCGATCCTGAAGTGCCTACGGGAGGCTAAACACTATGCGTCTGCAGCCGGAACCAGGCGCATCCGCGAGGGTGGTCCCCGGGAGTCGCCATGTGAGGGAGCTGCTGATAAACTGGCCACGCGATGTCCCGACCCTGTGCTGAGTTCCGTGCTAATGCATTATGTAAATGCTTAAATTCCGCGGACAAAGGCCACAATGGAGAGCCTCAGTTGGCTCCACAAAGCCGCCTAGCTCGGGGCTAATAGGTTTAATCAGAGAGAAGATTGTCGGCTCGCCTGGGGGAGGGCGTTCACTGCGGATGATGGATGAAGGGACATTCATTTTACCTGGAAGATGAAGGGGGCTTTGGAGACCAGATGGGAAGGAGACCGGCTTCCCATTATCCTCCTCCCAGGCCACCTCTTACCCACCCCTCTCCGTCTGCTTTTAGTGATCTGTTCTAGTCGCTTCTCTTGGCAGTGACTTTTGTTCGTTACACAAACCACTGCGAATCCCATTATGGTGTCAGGAAAAAAGAAGAAACTTGCACAAACGAATCGAAGGAAGAAGGTGGGGAAGGGAGTCAGTGGACATGGACAGTTTTAAAAACTTATTTCCCTAATCTGTCCCCTGAATTCAAAGAAAAGTGCTGGGCTTCTTTTCTTTTAGCAGCACACTAAGGCAGCAGCATCAACAGTTCGTACTTCCTTAAAATGGGGGAGGGTCCGTGGAAAATTTAGAATGTCTGATCCAGACCTGGGCTGGTATGTTAACTGTAGATTCATCCTCGGACTCGCAGGCTCTGGACTCGCTGGAAACTATACTGGAGCTTGTGTCCGGGCCAAATGGCCCCAGAGATCAAAAGAGTCTTGGTAATTAGCGTTTGGTCTCTGGTGGTCACTAATGGCTGCTTATAAACTTGCAGGAGACAAAAGCATGGGGTTGCATAGAGATTTCTTCTAGATGAAAATATATTGAGAGGGAAGACTCTACAGATTCTCAGCCTCACCCACAGGGCGTTTTTGGGAGAGGCAGGTAGTACCTCTCTGTTTTGCATTTGAAGTTATTTTTTTCTCTTGCCTATTGGGGTCAGGTTTTGGACTGCCTTTTTTTCCGCAAGGGGGAATTGGTGTAGTTTAGTATTGTAGATATTCTGCAGCTTGGGAAATGAAGTTTCTGGAAGATTATTGGTTTTGCCTTTGATAAATACCGATTATTAAGCCATAATATAATATCATTAAATATATTTTTCTCAGTGGAACTGCCTGCCCCACCTGCAGGAAATTCAGCTTTGGGTAACCTGAAGCAGGCAGCCAAAGGTCTTTTATGACACTTCTGAAGTGTTCCAACCCCTTAATGTAGAGGGGAGGCGTCACCCCATGATTTTCAATTGAAAAATGTAAAGTCGAATGAGCATATATTGGCTAGACTACTTTATGTCCCTCACTCCTTGGTCAAGGATCATTATTATAACCTTACCTTGCAAAAGGCAGCTTCTTGACGTTTTCTCAAGAGTTGCATATATTTCTGTGGCTGTCTGGTCACTTTTTGACAGTCAGTTTGTCTTTAGAGACAAACAATACAAATACATTTACTCACTAACAGGGTCACATTTTCAAACTTTCCTGCTGCATCAAGCTGCATGAAAGGAAACCGGTCACTGTTAGGAAAGCCCAAAAGAAATCTGATATTAGCAGGTCCCTTAAATTTGAAAGGGCCTTTGGGAGACAAAAGTAACCAGTCTGCTCCACCTTCGCACCAGTAAAGATCACTATAAAGATCTTTCTCTCCCAGATCCTAAGTAAAAAGTTCTATGTGCAGGGGCTGCAGTTGTGGCTCAGTGGTTGAGCATTTGCCTAGCTTGTGTGACGCACTGGGTTCTATCCTCAGCAACACATATAATGAAATGAATAAAATAAAGGTCCATCAACATCTAAAAAAATTTTTTTTTAGAGTTCTATGTCTTAAATACACACAGATCCAGTGAGGCAATTTAGAAATACCCTCAATCTTCCTGGTCAACACATAGCCAGCTCTGAGCCTTCCACCCTCGTGAGGGCTACAGCCTCCCTCTAGGCTACAGAAAGAATGACAGCTATGGTGTTCCCAGCTGTAAGTTGGCCAAGCCAGAGTCCTATCAGCTGCAGTGCTCAGGCCTGTCAGTTTCCCCCAACTGCACAGGCCAAGGTTAGGTTAGGTCTCAGCATAAAGGAGGCAGAAAAATGGACTCTCCCAGTTATCACTTTAAGGCCTGTGACCCCATGAAGAGTCTCCAGTTTCTGCTGTGGGGAACCAGGATGAAGAGGTAGTATAGAGTCAGAAGAGGCCGAAGGCTCTAGGAGGCTAACAGATAATCTCACCTGTGGGTTTCTTACCTAGGAGCTGCCTTGTTTTGTGTCTGGAGAGGAGGGATGTGGTCATAATGTTAGTACTAAAAATAACTGATGATTATTGTATGCATCTTATGTGCTAGACTCTGAAATGAGCACTTTCTCATTTAATCATAACAACCTTGAAGAGGTATTTCTTTTTTACACAGAAAGAAATCAAGGCTTATAGCATTATCTGTCTAGGTCACAGTGCTAATTGGTAGATAAGAACTCAACCACAGGTCTCATTTGCCCAGAGGTCCTTAACCACCACTGGGGAAGGCCTGATCTTCCATCAGTCTATCTACCATCTATTCATTTTCTGAGTACCTGCTATATGCCAGGCACTATGTCCAGCCCTAGAAGTTCATTACAATTAACCCTTAAACATAGATCCTTTTGTCTTTGGGCTTCATTTCTCCACCTCTCTAGAGCCATGGAGTCCAATTTCTGGCATCAGTTATTTTACTGGGATAGTAAGAAAGGGCTGGTAAAGGTTTTGCTTAATAGAATACCCTCACCAGAAAGGCCTTCATTTGAATGTCATTGGGTAAATGACACTAGTCTTTTATTCTCCTTAGGCACATGCTTCTAGGCAGAAAGTTGAGTGTCTTTCCCAGAAGCAGAGTCAGGAGCAGAACCTAGACACAGGCTTACTGATTTCTTATGTCTTAGCCCATTTTTTTTTCCCTCAGTGTCAGCCTGATAAATTTGGGTTTCTAAACGGCATCATTTTAAATTCTTGTCCTCCTTTAAGATTATTTTGTTGTTCTTCTTCTTAGATCTTTTTTCAAATTACTAAACCACTGAGCTCATTTAAATTCTTATCCTCTAAGATTTGTTGTTGTGGTTTTTAGATCTTATTTACGTTACTAATCACTGGGCTCATAAATGATGATAATCTACATTTGTTTTTCTTCTGGGCTATCCATGGACTTTGAGTTCATTTACATATGTTCAGATCTGGTCCTCTGGACACAAGCAGAGGCCCTAACTAGCTTACTCTACAGGGGTGATAAGAATAAAAGCTTTTGTGAAATTCTCCAGGGGAGCAAAGGAAAAAGAACAGACACCTTTTTCCTGGGACCTCCTAACTCAGGGTTACTTGGAGTGTTAGGCCAATAGGAATTAATTACCTCCTGGGAGGAAACTTTCCCCAGCTTCCTTCCTGGCTGGCTAGCACCCTATTAGGAGGGCCTCACTCCTGCCTATTGGCTTTAGAAAGCTTAAAGACTACAGTTTCATTTGATAATTTGTTGTTTGCCAACCACAAAGTCAGACATTGAGAAAAACAAAGAATTTATATTTAGCATTATGCAAAATACTAATCTAAATGAATATAGTTTAATATAAAATTTACAACAGGTTGAGGCAGCTGTGATATAAAGGAAGGGAGCAAAAACCTGATTTTAAGATCTGGCTGTCAGGTTTCTTCTTAAGAACCTGGAATGGGGGCTGTGATTGTGGCTAAGTGGTAGAGCACTCACCCAACCTGTGTGAGGCACTGGGTTTGAGTCTCAGCACCACATATAAAAAAATAAAGTCTCTCAATAAATAAAGAACTTGGAATGGAATTAACAATAATAACAACAATTCTAATTATGAGTCCCTATGGTAAAAATATTGGGTGACCCAGGATTATTAATAAACAAGAACGTGACAATAACCTTTGACTACATAGTCAAAAGACAATTTCAGTGCCACTGGATTCATACAAAAAATTTACAGGGAAATTGAGTACTGCTGTCCTCCAAACAGAATAGCATTGGCAAGCACGAGAAATATGAAGTAGTAAGAACAGCATGTCATTAATACATATTTGTAAAATCCTTTCTAAATGTATATAGACATCCTAAAAATATGACGGATAACTGAATGCAAAACTCTTGTTAATA